GGATATTTATTTCCAGTTCCTTGAACATGTGCTGCTACCGCTCCCCTCCCTCCTGCTGCCCAAACCTTGTGAAATTACTGGCCACCTTCAAATCAAGTCACTTTCATTTTCGGTCAGGTGCTGCTGCTGCTGCTGCTGCTGCTGCTGCAACTACAGGCACCAAATGTCCTTTTCGATGGAGGTGAATTTGACGGACAGCTCACTCTTACAGACTCCATCAACTTCTGTAACAACTCAGTCAACTGACCGCATCATTTAGGATCACACTTACAGAGCAGCAAACAGACACGACACTTACCAAACTATGAGCACTGTGCCGTGAGTCTTTCAACGTTTCACCTCGAAAGCCTACGAAAGCAGAAAAACAGAAAATGTATATTTATTTATTTAAACAAAAAATAAAATATTGTGCATACTTTCATCTTGGGAAGTTGACTTTTTACAAAAAAAAAATGTCCATAAAAAATTATTAATTCATAGCATATGCATAGATTATGGGATTTATCTCCTAATTCCTAATGATCCGAAAACCTATTTATTTTGAACGGCCATGACCATAAGGGGGCAGCTAGATTATCAGTCTTCCTGTTCGTTTATTCTGTGTGTGTTGTGTTCTATAGTGGTTCTGTAGTGCAGTGGTTATCACAGCTGCTTAACACGTCTGCCTTACACGTATAAGGTCCTGGGTTTGAGCCCTTTAGGAACTACGTACTTAATGGTGACAGCAAATTGTTGGATTTCTTTTTTTTTTTAACCCAGTCTTTGCCTTATGATGTTCAAGGTGTTTGAAGTCATAGGAGATGCATGGCAACACACTGAATTAATTGATAAGTAGAAATATTTTTTTTTCTGATCTTGTTTTTTTTTTTTACAAAATAAGAAAATGTATAGCTTTAATATGTTTGATATACAGTATAAGTAAGAAATCCAATATCCAAGACAAGGTGAGGCATTTGAACTAAAGCCACGTCTCCACTGGCAACTGGCAAAATATGAACAACGTTTCAGTAATCATCTTGATTATTCTATCTATTTACAATTTCCCCCTGATTAAAAACGGTGTCACTATGTGACACAGGTTAATCGTTTGTTCTGCGTGAAAGTAATAACGTCCTTTACTTCTCCATACTTACATATGGGTTTTCTGTAACTAATTACAAAAGATGTCAAATATTTTAACCTACTTCGTATTGTATTATTTTAAATGAAGTTCATTCAAAATGGTTTGTTTTGAACATGTATCACTTTGGGCAGGTAATTTACTGATTAGCCCGAGTTAATGGATCAGATCCAGATTTAATGTTTATTACCTGCTGCCTTCAGACTGTTGCTTAAATCTTCACAGTCACAGGCTGATGGCGCTAAAAAGGCACAGCTTATTGGATAACTGTAGATCAGCAGAGATAAAACCATTCTGATGATTTCAGGCCGCTGAACAGCTTCACTTACACTGAGGATTGTGTCAAGTGACAGCTTTAACCTTTTAGTCGTAAAAGTGATAAATGACACAGAATATGTTTTTTCCCTATGTTTTCCTCTCACCTTTGTTAAGTTAAGTCTCTGTAGATGAGCATAATCAAATTGGAGCAGCTTCAGCAGGGACTGATTGATAAAGGCTGAATGTCGTATTGACTTTTGTTCCCTTCATTTCCTTTCTCACTTTTACTTTTCAATGGTTTTGTGACTGAATATATTTTTCCCACTTGGCAGTGTTTAGCAGTCCTTTGAATAATACTCACAGTGCAAGGTGCTTCTGACAAAGAAACACTGAACACAGCTTTCCTGACTGTAGTTAGGAAGCTAACGTCGGAGAAAGTTAGTTCCAATTCCACCAACAGTCATTTTTGTTTCACTTTCAATGAATACCAGACTGTTCTCTTGTAGGGTAAGTTTTCAGTTATTGTTTTTAAAATAATACCTTACAATGAGTTACGATGAAGCCACCAGAGCATTGAGGACTTCTGATAGTTTCACGTCGACTAAACAATGATAAAGTCAAAGTCGAATCGATGAATATTTTACTATTGTCATCACATTGACAAAGGATGAAGTACACAGACACACACGTCCACCAATGAGCACGTAACTCTTTGTACGTTGCTTTTGTAGCTTTTCCTAATGAAGAGAACACGGCAAACAGTTCTCTCCGCTCACAACTCATTTCACGAAGTGATTATGATGCATCGTGCCACTCACACTGACTTGTCGACAAAATACTTTTTCTCTCAGTGCCCTTGTAGCCTCTTTCAATTAGAGGGTGTCAAACGATACATTCAAAGACGTAGACGTGTGCATTTGATCAAATTTTGATTATGATTTTGGTTCCAGTCAGTCACAAGTATGATATATTGATCATCATGGCACTCTAAAAAAGTCAGCAAGGTAGAAACAGCAGGAGGAGATAGCAAACTGAGAGGAGCAGAAGGAGACGATAGCAGACGGAGGGCAGCAGCAGTAGTATTTAGTCAGCGAAAAAGTGAAGTTCTTACTCTTACCTAAGGCAATG